AACTAGTAATAAGACGCCTAACTTTTAATTATTAAACGTCCAAATGAGACACGCCGAAAGATGTTGAATTCACGGCTAGAAAAGACATCGGTTCAGCTTTCATTTTGGAACTATTTTTCAACAATGATAGGATGTCTCTGACTGACATCATTTCAACAGTCATTACATTTCCAAATGTTTTCTGGGAGACATCTACACCAGGAGTTTTAACCCTCAGCTCATTAGTGAAGTGTACTAATTTTTCTAGGACTGCTTTGTTTTAATTATTTTTTTCAACCACAATTCAAAAGCAAAGTTTTATTTCAAGGCTCAGCAACAATTTCTTTCTCCTAGTAACCACCATTCTGAATGCACACATGCACCAAAAACATTATATACAATAACCTACTTGTAATTATTTTACTTTCTGATGCCAGCAGTGTTAACTGTGCTTTTATGTATCCTATATTTTTGTTTTGTTCTTTACTTGTGTAAATATTAGCACTAGGGCCTTTACAGTTTTGTTGTGCCGGCAGCACATCCTGTTGTTGAGCAATGGCTTTCTAATTCTAATTCTAATTCTAATGTAGGGATTTTCTATTTGATATATTTACAATTTCTTATTATTTCAGTGACTTTTGTGAATTTTGTCTTTTCCTTAAAGGGACTTTACGGAGTTTTGAAATTTTATGCTCGTGATTGCCCCCTCAGGCCAAAAGCGTAATGGCAGCTTCAATAGTAGGCTCGTGCACGAGGTGCGCATGCTGTACGTGCACACTCCTTAACGAAAATAACAGCTGAGACAGTCCCGTGTGTGTGTGTGTGTGTGTGTGTGTGTGTGTGTGTGTGTGTGTGTGTGTGTGTGTGTGTGTGTGTGTGGCCCGGAGGACAGGAGAACACACAGCTAATTAATTAAATAATTTGGTTCTGTACCTTTCTCTTCAGCACAGCCGACAAAGGTTTATGATGGGTCGGTCCTCCTGCATGCTCAGATCATTCCCTTCCCTTGCTTGAAAAATTGTTCCAAAATGAAAGTTGAACCCACATCTTTTTTATCTGTGAATTCAATGGCGTTCAGCGAGTCTCAAATAAAAATTTGGGCATCTTACTGTAAAAAAATATACCATTAATGTAAAAAAGAAACTCTAAATAAACTATGTTCACATCCAGAATCAAACCCAGGACTTCCGCACGGGAGTCCAATGTCTTACCAGGTGAGCTAAAGCGCCAGCAATATTAAATGTATCTGTAACATTTATATCCTTGATCACAGCTGAAACAACGTTCAAAGAACGGTTCGAAGGGCGATGCGTGAGCGTGAACGCGCATGAAGCAGCCTGCTCGACCCGAGCATCTCTCTTTTTCTGTGATTTTACAGAAAAACAGGCAATCGCAGTAAAAATGCCAGGGCTCATTCTACAGGACCAGGGCGTTGCAGGAGAATGTATGAAGAAGACATTTATTATTTCTACACATGTTTTGGCTGTCAGACTTCCATGTTGTCCCTTTAATGGAAGGATATGAATCAATGTGAGGATTACTGCATAAACATGGTTCAAATCGTAATGGAAAGTTCCAGAGAGGATTTGTTTTCACAGTACTGTACAGAAGCTAACAATACATTTTCCTATATCATCATATCAGTGCATAAGTGTAATCTAGTGCTTTTTGTCTGCTTTAAGATGGTCAACATGTGAAAGTTGAAATGTTTCATTTAAAAGTAGAAAATCACTCATCTGGGCTAAGCCCCGGATCCTTTTCACTCCCAAATCCGCCCCTGTTCATATAATGGGAAACATTTTTGACATTGCCAGATCCTGCCCCTTTATTTGGTTTCCCCTGATTCCTTCTGTGTGGAACGATAACGTGTCTCCATCTGAAACTTGTCTCTTTCCACATTTTGTCTATGCAGCAGTACCTACGTCCAGTGGAGGATGTGGCCTCCGCTCAGGAGGACTGCTATAAGTTTGCTGTGTCTCAGTCCAGCACTGGCACCGTGATGGGGGCTGTCGTCATGGAGGGCTTCTACGTTGTCTTCGATCGAGAGAAGAAACGCATCGGCTTTGCTGTTAGCACATGCCATGGTGAGACATGAGGCCAGTCACCATCCATGGTGCAGACAAGGACATATTTAAACCTACTGTCTCCTTTGTAGTGCATGATGAGTTTCGCACAGCATCAGTGGAGGGCCCGTTTCAAGGAGTGGAACTGGAAGACTGTGGCTACAACATCCCTCAGACGGACGAGTCCACTCTGATGACAATCGCATACATCATGGCGGGGATCTGTGCCCTCTTCATGCTGCCCCTGTGCCTCATGGTGTGCCAGTGGCGCTTCGCTCGCTGCCTTCACCCACACAGGGACTTTGCAGATGACATATCGCTACTGAAATGACAAAGACGTTGCAGCCGGACACTTAGTGACAGAGGAGCAGTTATAAAACACTGGTGCTGTTAGAAAAAGTTCTTCAGGATATGAAGATTGAACACAGAAAGCCTTGCTGCCGTCAGGTTGTCTGCTAGGAAAACTAGAGCCATTCTGAACTGGAAGGGATACCAGAAAGATGCCGTAAGCAGCATCCTGTTTCAATCACTATTGTACCTATGCAGCTCAGCATGCTTAACAAAAGGCTTTTTTCTATAAATAGTGTAAAAACAAACCACTCGGCTCAGCTTTAGGCTCGGTCTGTTTTAGCTGACTACAGGTGATTTGGGTTATAAGGCTGTGTTTTGAACATGAATATGTGGTTTTCTGTGTTTACTTGTAACTTCTGTTGGCTTTGAGTGAATGAAGCAAGCGACGCAAGTCTGCTTGTATGTTTGCACCGCTGCACATAAAACATAAACAGAAAAGATTTAAAAAGAAGATTTAACTACAAACAGGACAAGGATTCTGCTTTACTGGAATTATAAAACTATATTGCACTGCTAAGAAAATGGAGGATAAAGGGAGTTTATTTGATAAAGCCTGTACATTTATGGTGTAAGATGTTACCTTCTGGTCACTGATGCCACGGTCCCATACTGATGGCTTACATATTCCTATGTACATGGTGTGTATTCACATCTTCTTTTTCCACAGAAAAACTGACATGCCACAGCTCACACAACACGATAAAAGCTGACTATAGTGGAAGTTCTGTCACAAACAGTTGAACGCATCTATTAAATGGGACCATGAACAAGTGGAAAAGGAAACCAACCCAAAGGATGTTGCTCACTAAAGATCAGTGTGTGTGTGTGTGTGTGTGTGTGTGTGAGACTAAAGGAGAGTCTAAAAAAGCTGTAAATAGATTAACTTAGCACTGGATATTTTTACTCCCAGCCTGTGTCAGCAATGGTGAACCAATAAAGTACCCATTGTAACTGTAACATAGCTTTTAAGGTTTATTTCTTGATAGATAGATAGATAGATAGATAGATAGATAGATAGATAGATAGATAGATAGATAGATAGATAGATAGATAGATAGATAAACTTTATTGTATTGTATTGTATTAACAAAGTCAAACCAAACACAAAGGTTGAAAAACAGTTCTGGTACTAATACAGGGCTACCAACTCCCCCGGAATGAGGTTTATATGATACCTATTTGTAATTAATTTCACAAAAGTACTCTGATTACTCTGGCATATGGGGAGCCCAAGTCTCCTCCCTTTCTGGTCGGCTCGTGTGTCCCTAGAAGACCGTCAAGTCAGTGGAGCTAAAAGAGCTAGTTTCTAATCTGCTTTCCCTTATGCCCTGATTTAATTTATTTAAATGTATTCAACGTACTTATCAGCTTGTAGAAGTTTGTATTTAGCATGACTACAAATCAGATATTGGCTGTGTTCGAGATGAGCCAGTTCTGCGCAGATTAGATCAGCGGTGATCGGTGCACAGTGCATGCCGGTTAGATTTGTGTCCGACTAGACGCCGACTTGCTTTGACGTCATGCATACGTAGGCAACGATAACCACGTGAGATCAAGGCGGCCGCAGATTTTGGAGCAAGGCGCTGCAGTTGCTCTCCACCGGCTGCAAAACCTAGGGGATGACGGGAAACACCTGGCTCTCACCTGATCTAAGATCTGATTGGTTCACATTCTGATCCAAACATCCGGTGGTAGAACATGAAATGTTAGTTGGTCACATGTATTCTGTAAATCATGTTACGTTGATGATGACAACTATATAGGCCACAAAGAGAAATGTGATTTGTGTTCTTTTGTCACGTTTCCTATGAGCACACTGAACCTACAGCTGATAACCTTTACTTATTATTACGGTCGTGTATTCATATACAATATATGATATCCACAAGCACGTGAGGATGTGTATCGGTTGGTAACAGGCACCAGAATTAAAATAAAAAATTAAACAAGTATGAATGCTAACGCGATATCTTCATCCATCGTCACCCGTGAGCTACACATGTAGGGAAATCTGTCCGACTTAAACGCCGGCTTTCAGCCACTCCCCCTGCTGCTTCCGTCTGCTCTCGTCTGGTTTCCAGGCGAGGCGCCGCTCAACTCGAACACGGCCATTGGCACATTGCATATCAAATGCAATAAAGGCAGGAGTTGGTAATCTTGCACTGCAAGATGAATTCTCACGAGATTTTGAGTTTTCCAAACTCAGGAAATGTGTAGACTTGACACGAGGCGGGGCTACAAATATTGCGCTTACACATTCGCATCGGTGTGGTCGGGCTGGATGGCATGAGTTTGGTCTCGAACGGATGATGTAGTGTTCACGTATAAATCTGAAAATCCGAAGAACTTCTCAGGAATGCAGAAATCCCCGAGCCTGTGGGCGGCACTTAACGCGTGCAGGAAAGCCCGCGGTCAATTTATAAGTTAAACAAAGGCGGACATTAGCTGTGCTGCTTTTGGAGACTCTGAACCACATTATTTCATTAATTTACTGTGTGTGTCCTCATAATCTTGTGCCACACACACACAGATTTCTCTGACTGTTAGGCCCGGCTACTTGGGCTCAAGCCCCAAATGTTTTATGATAAGCCCCAGATCTAAATCGCGGAAGTAACATGCAGTACCAAAGTCCAACAGAGAGGGAGCAGCTGGCAGTAGTTTGTATACAGCCTGCCTGAGCCTCCACCACTGAAGAAGAAGCCCTTCAGCAGCCGGCTTCTTCTACACTCTCTGCCTGAAACGCATGAGGGAAGATGGACATAAGGATGTTTTTTAGACCAAAAGCACAACGACAGAACCCCAGCTTTGATGAGACTGGTGCTGACTCAGGTTTGTGAGTCTTAATTGAAAATATTTGTTGTGCAGCAGCCCGTGCGTGTGTGTGTGTGTGCGCGCGCGTGTGTTAAGCCCCGGATCTTCTTCAGTCCTAAATCCGCCCCTTCATGCGGGAATGCATTCTGCGACACGCTCCAGGCCCCGATCTCCACATCTTCAGCTCGCTGTCCACCTCACGTACGCGCTGACAGCGAGCTCCGCTGAGCAGTGTCCAGCTCAGATGTTCAGATGGGAATCTTTTCATGATTGATTTGTCTTCCTCAGCAATGTGTGTAACGATAAAAATGACGGGGTAATTCTTTCTTTACTTTCTGTGTGAAAATAAACGGTCAAATAGGGAAATATGTTAACCCTGCCATTTAACCGTTTTGCCTTCATGTGAAGATTGTTGCAAACAGGAACATTAAACTTGATGAACACCAGAGCCAGGCACACTGCGCCGTTATCTCCGTCACTGTAGA